CCGCCGCCGCCGCCGCGGGGCAGCCTGGGACTCGTAGTCCGGCCGGCGCCGCGCGGGGCACGCCGGGAGCTGTAGTTTCCGGCGGGGGCGCGAGGGAAACTCGCGCTCAGTTTCCCGCTCGATCCTGAGCTCTTCCTTGAACCGCGAGCGGAGGGCGCCGGTCCAGAGCCGAGCCGCCCGGATCCAAACTTGCAGCTCGGCCGCTGTGTGACGCTGGGTTGCTTTCCCGTGCCTCAGTTTCCCCACTTGTATAACCTACCTACCTCTTGGGAGTCTCGTTAAAATTAAAAGTGGCGCGGGAACCTCCAAAACATGCTCATTGATGTCACTTATATGTGGAATCTTGAAAAGCGAACAACAACAACAAATATCCCGAGCTCACAGATACAGAGACAGATTGATGGTTGCCAGAGGGCGGATGGAGGGGGGGAGAAATGGGTGCAGGGGGTCAAAAGGTACAAACTTCCAGTTATAAAATAATAAGTCCTGGGGATGTCATGTAGGGCATGGTGATTATAGTTAATAATACTGTATCCATGTTTGAAAGTTGCTAAGAGAGTAGATCTTAAAAATTCTCATCACGAGGAAAAAAATTGTAACTAGGTACAGTGACGGATATTAACCAGAGTTATGGTGGTGATCACTTCTCAATATATACAAATATCAAATCCTCAGGTTGTATACCTGAAACTGATACAATGTCATATGTCAATTACACGTCAATCAAAAAACAAACATGTTCAGTGAAAGAAGCCAGACAAAAGGCCACACAGTGTATGATTCCACTTATAGAAAATATCCAGAAGAGGCAAATCTATAGAGCCGAGTGTCTCCAATCTGGCACATCTGGGCCCCATTCTTCTCTGGGGCTGGGGCGCCCTGTTCATCGTAGGACGTTGGGCAGCATCCCTGGGCTTGCCCCAGCACTCGATGCCAGTAGCACCACCACGCCCTCCAGTCGGGACAATCAAAAATGTCTCGGGCCGGCCAGTGGCTTAGGGGTTAAGTGTGCGCGCTCTGCTACTGGCGGCACCGGTTCGGATCCCGGGCGCGCACTGACGCACCGCTTCTCCGGCCATGCTGAGGCCGTGTCCCACATACAGCAACTAGAAGGATGTGCAACTATGACATACTACTATCTACTGGGGCTTTGGGGAAAAAGAGAAGAGGAGGAGGATTGGCAATAGATGTTAGCTCAGAGCCGGTCTTCCTCAGCAAAAAGAGGAGGATTAGCATGGATGTTAGCTCAGAGCTGTTCTTCCTCACAAAAAAAATAATAAATAAATAAAATGTCTCCAGATTTTGCCACATGTCACCTAGGGGGTAAAATTGCCCCCAGTGGACAACCACTTCCTTCCAGTCGCTCTGGAATCTGCCAGGTGTCTGTCTGCTTAGAGAGCGCCTCCTCCCCTCACATCCTACCTCAAGGAACTGGGCTCAAACAGCTTCCCTCAGGGACCCCAGCAAACCGCACACTGAGAACCCAATCCCTTCCGAGGACACCGAGACCAAGGGTTCCCTTCCTGCACACTTGTCACTCACTCACAATATTCCCCTCTTACCAGAAGCCGGGACCCGCCTCAGAGTCCCTGGCTACACTGTGACCAAATGGTCTCTCAAAAGCTCCCCTGTGTTTGGGGACCCCATGCTGTTGTCTTTCCCTCGCAATAGTAGGAATCTCGAATATAAAAGAGAGTTGGTAAAACGTGAGGGCGTTTAAAGCAAAATACGAATAAATGGTGATACAGGAGGCACGTACGGGGTGGGGGGGTGCGGAAGATTGAGGTTGGGGAGTGGCATGGGGTCACCATGCCTACCCTGCACCGCCAGACTGAGCTGCAAGCCCCTCCCCACTGAAGCTCCCGCTAAGGGCCACAGGCGACCTGATCCCCACTGGCCTGCCACTCCAGGCCTGCAGGGCCCCTCGCGTCGCCCGGGGCGCTGCTCCTCTGCGCACTGGGACATCCCACCCGCCTCCAGGTCTTTGCCTGCGCTGTTCCCCCCGCCAGAATGCCGTTCCCGTCTGTGCTGCGCGGGCCTGGGCCTCAGTCTTCGCCTCTGTAAAGTGGAGCCTGGCCTCTCCTCCTCCCCCCATCTCTCAGCGCTGGGAGGGGCTCGGGGTGTCCGGAGCACCTCTCCCCTGCAGGACCCCCGGGGCCGGGACTCCAAGTCCCAGAAAGCCCCGCGCTTCCCGCGCGTGGGGCCCGGGCTCCCCCCACCTCCCCGCGCGCAGCTTGGGAAGCGTTGGCGATTTTCAAATTTTGGCGCAGGGCGGGCGGGGCGGCGACAGCTGCGGCCATGCACCCCCCTCCTCCGGAACCCGAGGTCTGGGCACCCGCAGAGCTGGCCTGTCCACTCCGCGGGCTCCCCGGGCACGACCCGCGGCGGGGGGCTCCGAGCCCAGTTCCAGGACGGGAAACTGAGGCACGGAGCTATTAGGGAACCTGTCCCGGGCCCCCCAGCAGGGGCGTGGCGGAGGGGGGTTTCGAGCCTGGGACCCTCTGACCCCAGAGCGCTAGAAAGCTAATAGCAATTACTGTCTGCTTTGCGGGCAGGGGGTGCGGGCGGTGGGCGAGAGATCCCCGATCCCGGGACGGCGCAGCCCCGCCGGGCCCTGCGCCCCATCCCTGCCCCTCCCCGCGCGCCGTCGCCCCTACTCCGCGCCGAAGTTTGGCGCCAGATTTTTCAAAATATCAGCCCAACGGCTGCCGCTGGCTCCCGGCCCGGATCTCCAGCCTGGATCTTGAATTCCGGAGCCTGGATCTGGGGATTCCGGATTCGGAGCCTGGATTGGGGGGCCCTGGATTCCGGAGCCTGGATCTGGGAGGGGCCTGATTCTGGCGCCTGGATCTGGGGTGGGAGGACAGAGTCCAGAGGCTGGATCTGGGGGGACCCAGATTCCTGAGCCTGGATGTGGGGTGCATGTTCCAGAGCCTCGATGTTGGGGACCCTGGATTCCAGAGCCTGGATCTGGCGGCCCCAGATTCGGGGGTGGGGGGCAGATTCTGGAACCCAGATTCCAGAGCCTAGAGGCTAAACCTGGAATCTAGGATCAGAATTTGGGAACCTGGGGCTTGGAACACTTTATCCCAACTGAAATGTGGGAGGCCAGCAGAGGGCTGAGGCTGGGGATGCAGCTGATTGTTACCTGCATGGAACAGGACCAATGAAATCAACAACTATCGATCCAGCATCCCCTGTGCCAGGCACTGGGGCTGCCTCAGTGACCAAGACAAAGATCCCTGCCCTTGGGGAGCTGACAGTGAAGTAAGGAGACAGAGGAAACAAATACACACAACAAATAAGTAAATTGTATAGAATGTTAGAAAACAGCAAGTGTGGAAAAATAAAGCAGGGTAGAGGGGCTTGGGGGCATGTAGGGTAGGGGGTTGCATTTTAAATAGGATGGGCCTCTTGGAGAAGGTGACATTTGAGCAAGGACTTGAAGAGAAGGAGGGGATCAACTTTGTGAACAGGTCGAGGGAAGCTTTCCAGGGAAAGGAACCAGCCAGGGCAAAGTCTATATTCTAGGCATGGTGGACACTGCAATGAATGAGAACTTCCAATGGGTGGAGGCAGATATTGTAGGACACAAATATGTAATATAACATTAGTGTATTAGTTATCTATTGCTGTGTAACAAACAGCCCCAGAATATATTGACTTAATGCAACTCACATTTCTTATCTCAGTTCCCATGGGTCAGGAATCAGGGCGCAGCTTAGCTGGGTGCTCTGGCTCCAGGCTTCACAAAACTGCCATCAAGATGTTGGTTGGGGGCCGGCCCCATGGCTTAGCGGTTGGGTGCGCATGCTCCGCTGCTGGCGGCCCGGGTTCGGATCCCGGGCGCGCACCGACACACTGCTTCTCTGGCCATGCTGAGGCCGCGTCCCACATACAGCAACTAGAAGGAAGTGCAGCTATGACATACAACTATCTACTGGGGCTTTGGGGGAAAAAATAAATAAAATTAAAAAAAAAAAGATGTTGGTTGGGGCAGAGTCCACTTCCACTCTCACCCTATTGGAAGGATTCAGATCCTTGCAGGCTGTTGGACTGGGAGCCTCAGGTCCTGCTGGCTGTTGTCCAGGGACTGTCTCAGTTCCTCATCACATAAGAGAGGATCTGATTTGGGTTTTGAAACCCTTCCTGTTGGTTGTAACAAGGAAACAAAAGCCGAAAACCACCCAAATATCCATCAGTAGGAAGAGACCAATAGCTTCTTAGAGATTCACGTGGCGGAATATCATACAGCAGTGAAAAATGAACACACCTAAGCAACAGCCATACCCAGAATGCCCTCCCAAACATAAGATTACACAAAGAAAGCAAAGTGCAGGAGAATACCTATATTATCCTGCCATTTTCATAAAATTCAAAGCCAGGCTACACTAGCTGATATGTTATTTAGGAGTGCTAAATATTTTCTAAACCCACTGGTTGTGAATGTCTCTATTCTTTAAGCTAGGCATATAAACTATAGACACTCTTTGTGTGTGTGATCTATTTCATGTTTCAAAAATAAAGGAAAACAACCTCCCTCAGATTGCTGTGTGGAACAACATGGTCCCAAGAGAAATAGAATATACGAGCACAAAAAGGAAATGATCATTGCTACATGATAATCATGTTGTAACATATAAATGTATCAAATCAACACCTTAAACTTACACAATGTCATATGTCAATTACAGCTCAATTTTTTTTAATTCCTCAAAAAAAAAAAAAGGACTAGAATGTGAGCCACATATGTTAAATTTTCTAGTCGCTGCTTTAAAAAGAGTAAAAAGAAACGAGAAACATTAATTTTTAACATGTTTTGCTTAATCTGATATACCCAAAATATTCTAGCCAATATTGTAATCAGCATAGAAAAATAATTAAGATATTTTACATTCTTTTTTTTTTTCATAGTAAGTCTTCGAAATCCAGTGTGTATTTTATACTTCCAGCAACTTAGGTGCTAAATTTTCAATGATTAACGAAACAACAAAGTTGTGTTTAACGGAAAAATATTTTACATGGCTTCTGTTTGTAGACTTGAATTAATTAAAATTGAATTCCATTTAAAATTCGGTTCCTCAGTTGCACCAGCCACGTTTCAAGGGCTCGGGAGCCACAGTGGCTGCTAGCTACCTGGCCAGCACAGGTGAAGAGGATGCTGGGAATGTCACCCAGGTGAGGGACTGTAGTGGCCTAGGCTGCCCCCTTTCTAGATGACCTCCCTCCTCGAGCCCTTACTCCAGTACCCAGGACTCGGGCATACCCCGTTTCCAATGCCTGGGCAGATCTCAGCCTGTGGGCATCCTCCCCAAGGCGACCTGGGCCTGAGTGTAGCACACCCCCGGGACCCAGAGGTGGCAAACAGCGGCTGTTTTGTGTGTGGGGGGGCGGTGGATTTATGAGCTGAGCTGCCACCTGTGCGCAGGCGACAACCCTCACAACATAGGACAAACCCTGGGGAGAGAGAGAACAGAGGCAGGTGGTCACCTGCTTAGGGCTGGCCCTGTGCACACTGCCACATTCCGGGCAGAACCGCAGGGGGTCCAAGAATTCTAACTGTGAACCAGACTTGCCAGGAAGTCCTGCTGGTTTGAATTCCAATCTATTACTGTGTAACGAACTGCCTCCACACTTTATTATGTCTCATGATTCTGTGGATCAGGAATGCAGGTGGGGCTCTGCCAGGCAGTTCTTCTGTCCCCTGTGGGGTTGGCGGGGTCGCTGGGTGGTGTGCAGCTTGCAGCTGGTCTGGGCTGGGGGCTCCCAGCTGCTTCTGTGGTCGCCCCGGTGCCTCAGCCTGCCCCCTCCCTTTCTGTGTGGTGTGGGGGTCTCTCCATGAGCCCACTCCTGCAGCACAAACTTCATACGTGGAGTCTCAGGCTTTCCCGGGAGCCAGACAGAAGCTGTCAGTTGTCTTGAAGTTGGGGCCTGCAGATGGCAGTGTCACTTCCCTTGTGCCCTTGGTCAAGGTCGTCACAGACCCAGCCCAAGTTGAAGAGTCGGAAGCGAAACTGAATCTGCCAGTGGGAGGAATGTCCAATAATTGTAGCCCTGTTTTTTTTTTTTCTGAGAGCTTTATTGAGATAAAATTCACGTACCATATAATTCTCCCTTTGAAGTATACAATTCAGTGATTTTTTAGTAAATTCATGGATATGTGCAACTATCACCTCTGTCTAGTTCCAGAATGTTCGATCACCCCAAAAAGCAACCCCGTCTCCATGAGTAGTCACTCCCATCCCCTCCCCGGCCCCTGACAACCACAAACCCACATTCTGTCTGCGGATGTGCCTGTTCTGGACATTTCACATCAGTAGAATCACACACCGTGTGTCCTTCTGTGTCTGGTTCTCTCACTGAGCATCGTGAGTACAAGGTCCATCTGCACTGTGGCTGTGTCAGGGCTTCACTCCTCTTCATGGCTGCGTCATATTCCAGTGTGTGGAGGGACAGGTTATGTTTATCCATCATCCACTGATGGACATTTGAGTTGTTTCCACTTTTTGGCAATTATAAATATTGCTGCTAAGAACATTCATGAATAAGTTTCTGTGTGGAAGTATGTTTCCATGTCTCTTGGGCAGACAGGAGTGGAATTGCCAGCTCATATGCTAATCCTATGTCTAACCATTTGAGGAATCACCAAATCATGTATCCGACAAGGATTAATCTCCAAATATATATAAAGAACTCATACAACTCAACAACAAAAAAACAAATAACCTGATCAAAAAATGGGCAGAGGAGATGAACAGACATTTTTCCAGAGAAGATATACAGATGGCCAACAGGCACATGAAAAGATGCCCAGCATCACTAATTATTAGGGAAATGCAAATCAAAACCACGATGAGATATCACCCCATGCCCGTCTAGGTCATTGCTTTTCGTAATGCTTTGGACAAACTGGTTTTCCCATGAAAAGAGGGAGTTTCAGAGAGGTTAAGTCACCAACTCAAGGACACACAGCTTGTGAGGGGCGGAGGTGGGATATGAACCAGGTAAGCTTGAACTCAGAGGGGAGACCCCAGCAACCTCCCTGGATGTCACAGTGGCAGGCATCCTGTGCCTCCCGCTGCTTGTCACTCCCCCAACTCCTACCCCGCCATCCTCCTCCGTGCTTCTGACCTCCTCACCTTTGCTCTTGCCACCTCCTTCCGGCCCATCCTGTCTCACCAACGTCTCAAAGTTCAGAGGGTGACTCACCTCCACCCAGAAGCCTTTCCTTAGGGACAGGAGTCACATCTTGTTCATCTTTGCAACAACAACAAAAAAGTGACATCAGAGGCCAGCCCTTCCTCTACTTCAAACTTCCCAATCCATGGCTTCCGGGCACCTCCAGAGTCAAATGCAGACCCCTCCCGGGAGCCCCCAGCGCCCACCTTTCTGATCTCATCTCCCCCGTGCTCTGCTCCAGCCACCTGGGCCTCCTCAGACGAGCCGGGTGAGGTCCCACCTCAGGGCCTTTGCACATGCTGTGCCTGGCGCACTCTCCCTTCACGTCTCCCCAAGCCTGGCTTCTTCGTGTCACTCAGGTCTCAGCTCAAATATCACCTCCTCAGAGAAGCCCGCCCTGACTACTCCATCCGAAATAGTTGTGTTACCACCTCCCGAATCAGCGCCCAATAGGCCTTCAGTCAATGCCCGAAAGTTAGAAAACAGCCCCCATGTAGAGGGCAGTTACTATGCACAAGCCCTCTTCTACCAGTGGACCAGAATGAACTCATTTCGTGCTCAGAACAATCCAAGATAATGCTAGTATTTCCATGTGCAGAGCGGGAAACTGAGGCACAGGGGTGGGGGGGGGGAATGATGTGCCCAAGCTCACACAGCTGGTCAGGAGGGAGGCTGGAATCCAAACCCAGGTGATCAGAAGTCTCCTCCGTCATCCACCATCCCTCTCAAGCACTGTTTGGGGGGTTCTATCTGACCCCCCATTCTCCCTTCCCCAGCCCCTCACAGCCCTCCTGTCTTAGTCTGCTCGGGTTGTTATAACAAAATACCATGGGCCGGGGGCTTAAACAGCAGACATTTGTTTCTCCCAGTCCTGGAGGCTGGGAGTCCGCGATCAGGGCCAGCAGGCTCGCTTCCTGGTGAGGACTCTCTTCCCCGCCTGCAGACGGCTGCCTTCTCCCTGAGTCCTCACATGATGGAGAGAGAGAGCTCTGGTCTCTTCCTCTTCTTACGAGGACCCTAATCCCATCCTGGGGGCCCCACCCTCATGACCTCATCCAACCCCAAGCACCTCCCGAGGCCCCACCTCCAAATACCATCCCGTGGGGGTCTGGGCTTCAGCATAAGAATTGGGGGGACACAAACCTTCAGTCCATAACACCGCCTACAATGAAAGGGGGCCCCCTCTGCTCTCACCTCTCTCAGCTGTCCCTCCCCAGACTTGGGGCTCCCAATCCTGCAGCATTCCAGAGCCCAGGCTGGGGGTGGGGGGACCCTGGATCCACACCTCCCTGGCAGACCAATGCCCCACCTCCTGGAGACCTGGTTTCCTCCTCCGTCCGGTGGGAACACCCCTGCCCCCCAGGTTCGCTTGAGGGGGGCTTAAAGGCAGGGTCCCAGGAAGCAGAGACAGGACTAGAGAGAGGTGTGATGAAAAATCATATTTATTGCAATATGTTTAAAAATTCAAACAAATGCAAACAAAATGCTGGATACACTTTCAAAATTTTAACTCAAGACAGGATCAGTTGTACTGAACTTTCCTTTTGGCTGGGCTCCGATGGGGCGTGGCGTGGCACGGCACTGTTGTTGATTCTTGATCGGAAATTCTAATATTCCCTCCATCGTGGATTTTTCGGCATTCATTTTGACTGGAACTATCGCATTAAAAATACTGTTGATCTCCGTCTGGGCTAGGGGTGATGGTTGCACAAACTTGCAACTAGACAAAAACCCACTGAACTGGACACTTTAAAAGGATGAATTGTATGGTATGCAAATTACATCTCTATTACAAATGAGAGGAAAAAAATATTTTTAGAAAGATTATTTATCTTGATGACTACATTTTTGGCTCCCCCTTGAATTTTGCACTAAAAATTTGAATGCTTTCCTCACGCCAGCCCCTGCCCTGCAACGGAGGGAAACGGATCCTCAGAGAATGTGCGTCCAGGTCCTTCCTCTGTACCAGCCATAACAGCCTCTCCCTGGGAGGCCCGGACTTTGTCCCGGCTGTGTCCTCTATCCGGCATGCCATTTCCTGTCTTCACCAGGAAAACTCCTACTCATCTGTCCTACCCCCTGGGTCTTGGAGTATCTGGGAATATTCTCAGGGAACTCTGAGCTCTGTGCCCTAAGCTAATAACACTGTCTTCCTGAGTCTCTATCACTTCCTCTGTGAACATGGCACAGTCACACAATGGCTATCTCGTGGGCATAGAAGGAGACACTGCTAACAAGATGCTTAGCACATGGTAAGAGCTCCATAAATGTCTGCTCTTTTTAGTGTCTTTAACGCAATGAAAAGTTCATTAAAAAAATGGTTAAGTTTATCAGTTCCAGAGACAAGGGATCTGATTTGCCAGCTGGGTCTGTGTCTGCCCGTTTTCTGGCACGGGGAAGGTTCTGGTTCCCTGGGTAGACGCGGTCTCCTCTCTCTGGGGCAGACAGGGACATCCTGAGGGCTGGGACTAGGGTGAATGAGTGAGCCACTGGCCTGAGGAGCAAAACTTAAGGGGGCGCACAAAACCTCAATCATCAAGATAAATATTTTAATGCAATATTAAAAAAATCAAAATCAGGGCCGGCCCCGTGGCTTAGCAGTTAAGTGTGCGCACTCCGCTGCTGGTGGCCCGGGTTCGGATCCCGGGCGCGCACCGACGCACCGCTTCTCCGGCCATGCTGAGGCCGCGTCCCACATACAGCAACTAGAAGGATGTGCAGCTATGACATACAACTATCTACTGGGGCTTTGGGGGAAAAAAAAAATAAATAAAAATTATTTAAAAAAATCAAAATCAACACAAAAAAATCCACAATGAACAAAAGATCAAAATTGCAAGTAAAGACGGGATCTGACTCTGCACCTGCTCAACTCACCTCCCTGACCCTCTCCAGTCCTGGCCCTGCCAGCTCCCGTCTATATTTAAAATCTTGATATTTTGTTCGTCATGGGTGGGGACTATTTTTGCATGAATTTTGATTTTTAAAAAATATTGCATTAGAATATTGTTTATCTTGATGACTGACTTTTGTGGCTCTTCCTCAAAATTCCTGCCTGAGGCAGTGTCTCACTCTCCTCACCTTGATTCCCTGCCCTGGTTCCAGTAAAGCTTTATTAACAAAAACAGGCGTCCACAATAGCCAAATAGTGGAAACAACCTTAGCAGCCGAGGAGGGATGACCAGATAAACAAAACATGGTCCATCCATGCAGTGGAATATTATTCAGCCGTCAAAAGGAAGGAAATTCTGACACCTGCTACAACATGGATGAACTTGAGCACATTATATTGAGTAAAATAAGCCAGACACAGGAGACAATACTGTCTGATTCCATTTATATGAGGTTTCCAGAAGAGGCAAATTCATCGAGACAGAAAGTAGTATAGAGGTTACCAGGAACTGAGGGGAGTTACTGTGTAATTGGGTTCAGAGTTTACGTTGGGGATTATGAAAAAGTTTTGGGTCTAGATAGCGCTGATGGTTACACAACATTGTGAATGCACTTAATGACACTGAATTGTACACTTAGAAATGGTCAAAATGATCAATATCGTGCATAGTTTACCATAATAAATAACAGGCGCCTCTGGGCTTTTTAAAAATATTGCATCTATAAAATTATTAAACATGTTGCATATGTAAAATATTGTGTGTATAAAATATTGCAACTGGCACCAGTCCCGGCGCACCCCGCCCCCGCCGGTGGGTCCCTTCCGGCGCAGCGGGCGCAGAGACCTCGCGGGGCCACCAGGTGGCGCCGCCGCGCCTCGCGGTGCCCGGGACATTTCGCGCCCCCACGGTGGGCGGCGCGGAGGCGGCGCGATGCGTCAGCCAGACCGCGGGCTGGGGAGCCGGGGGAACCGAGTCCTGGGGCCGAGTCCAGACCCCAGGCTGGCGGAGGAGGGGACGCAGATGTGAGTCACCCGGGAGCCCCCAATCGACCGTGGGAGACATTCCCACGCGGGCCTGTCCCCCTGGCTCGTGAACTGCCTTCCCGGGGAGACGGTGAGGCTGGCAGCCGTTCCTGGCGCACACGTGTGGCTCCAACCCCAACTAGCTGGTGGCTTGGGGGGAGTGGTGGCCTCACCAAGCCTCAGTTTCTCCTTTTGCATAATGCAGATAAATATGGCCCCTGCGTCCCGGGTCCTTGAGGACTGAATGAACCATGATACAGGGAGCTTGGTACACAGTGAGCACTTAATACACAGCAGCGCCCACTCCAGAGGGAGGAAATAAAAGTAGTGACCATCATTGCAAGCCGACTCGAGGTGGCAGTGTGCAGCGCAAACAAGAACCATTTCCCCCTGGCTTTCTCGCGGGCCTTATGTCTCCCCACGGGCAGGTGCGGAGGTGCAGCCAAGAGGTGGAAAGCCAGGCGCCGTCAGGGGGCGCGGAGCCGGCTGAGGCCGAGCCACCTGCGCCTCCCACGCGCGCCCCACCCTGAAACTCGCGGGGTGTGGGGAGTGGGCGAGGGGGCGCCCGGCCTAGTCCCTAGGGTGCACAGGGCTTTGCAGCCCCTGCTTCTGGGGACCTCGAGGTGGCCTCCCGAGACCACGAGGTGACATTTACTGAGCGCTTACTGTGTACTCCTTAATTTATTTAACCCTCCCTCCAACCCAATGAGGCCGGCGATGCATGCCCATTAGACCTGTAGCGACGCAGAGGCCCAGAGATGTCAAGTCCCCCGGGGTCTGGGGTCCCTGCCGCCAGGGGACACCCCACCACCACCACCACCTTGGAGGGATCAGGCTGCAAACCCGCTCCCCTCTCCGTGCAAGCTCCCAGCACAACCCGGGAAAGGCGCGGGCTGGGGACTCTCCCGGGACGGAGAGGGGATTCCAGGCCCCCCCGAAAGTCCGGGCCGCCTCGCGCGCTGGAAATCCCGCGCGCGCCCCGAAACGCGGCGCGGCTGCCGGGAAATCAGGAGAAAAACTTCTGCTTTTTTTTTTCTTTTCTGGCACTCACGCTCCCCCCTCCGGCCCCCCCGCGCCCTCCTCCCGGCTCTCGCCCCACGTGGGGCGCCCCCGCGCGGCGCCCCGCCCTCTCCCCTCCGCCGGCCAACTGCAGCGTGTGCTTCTCTCGCCTTCGTTGGCTGTCCAATAGGAGAGGCGGACGGGCCGCCCAGGCCACGCCCCTTCCTGGTCGAGTCTATAAAAGGCGGCGCCGGCGGCCGTGGCTCAGATCTCTGAAGTCGTGGAGGTGAGTCTTTCGTCTGCTGCTGCCTGGATTACTTTTGCTGAGGACTTTGCAGTTTTTTCCTACCTTTTTGGGGGAGGATTTCGCTGCCTTCCGAAGGTCTTGGACGTGGGAAGGTTTTGGGCCCTCCGGCCTCGGATTTTGCATTTTTCTCTCCGGGGACTGTCGTGGGGCTGTTTTCCACTGTGGATTATAACTGCAACATGACACTGGAAGAGCTCGTGGCCTGCGACAACGCGGCGCAGAAGTAAGTAGCCGGGGTCCCCGCCGCCTGAGGTCGGCCGGGCCGGGTTGGGCCGGGCGGGGCGGGGATCGGAGCGCCGGGTGGCGGGACCGGCGCTGACCCCCCTCTCCCCTGGTCCCAGGATGCAGACGGTGAGCGCCGCGGTGGAGGAGCTGCTGGTGGCCGCGCAGCGCCAGGACCGCCTCACCGTGGGGGTGTACGAGTCGGCCAAGCTGATGAATGTGTGAGTCAGACCCCGTCCCCGGGCTGGGCGCGGGTGGGGACCCCCCCTCCGCTCTGCATGCTCCCCACTGCACCCCTCTCTTGCACGGGGCTGGGACTTTCCCAAGTGTCTCACTGTGGGTTGAGGGCTTCTTTGCTTTCTTTGAGGGGAAGGGGGCTGCAGTCTGGGGGCGCTGCATCATTTGCAAGCGCACCCCTCTGCATTTATGCTCCAGCCTTACCCCCCCTATAATTTGAATCGTGCGTCTGCTCCCCCACTCCACCATCTGCGTGCAGACACGATCTTCTGCACACCTGCGGTTCCTCTTTGCTTTTGCAAACTCCCTGTGCACGGTGGCCCCTCCCCTGTCCCCAGCTGACCCGTCTCTTCCTCTGGCTCCCTCAGGGACCCTGACAGCGTGGTCCTGTGCCTCCTGGCTATTGACGAGGAGGAGGAGGATGACATCGCCCTGCAGATTCACTTCACACTCATCCAATCGTTTTGCTGCGACAATGACATAAACATTGTGCGGGTGTCAGGCATGCAGCGCCTGGCGCAGCTGCTGGGCGAGCCGGCCGAGACCCAGGGTACCACCGAGGCCCGGGATCTGCACTGCCTCCTGGTCACGGTGAGCTGGGCGGCCTCGGTCCTGCCCCGACCCCCCGCCCTCCCCGCCCCCCCCCACACCTGGGCCGGTGTTTGTCAACAAAGTCTGTCTTGCACCAGCTCAGCGCTCAGCCACGCTCGGCATGTCCCGTGGGCAGCCGGTCCGGGCCTCGTCGCCCAGCGAGCTATTTTGAGCCAGCCTGTTTTCCCCAAAAGAGCCCTGGGAGAGGGAGGCTTCCTGCCCACTCCCGGGGCTCCCACTGAACCCCGTCTTTCCCCCCTCCCACAGAACCCTCACACAGACGCCTGGAAAAGCCACGGCCTGGTGGAGGTAGCCAGTTACTGCGAAGAGAGCCGCGGAAACAACCAGTGGGTCCCCTACATCTCCCTCCAGGAGCGCTGAGACCCTTCCCAGCATCACAACCTGTCGAGTTGCTGCCAAAAATAAAAAATAAAATAAATATTTGACTCTCCTCCACCCCAGAACAACCCCCCAAAACAACCCGTGAGACCATCGGGGGCAGAATCATTGGAGAAGACTGAAGACAAGGAGAGGGGAGTGGGCGGCCACCCCCTGGGCGGTGAGCCTGGAGCAGCGCCAGCGGCGGCCACAGAGAGAGGAGAAGAGGGGCCCCAGGCCAGCAGGAGAGGGGACCCCGGAGCCCAGGCCTTGTGACAGAGCAGAAGCTGGAGTGGAGGGCCTGGCCTCCACACTTCGGGGCTGGGGCGAGACTTTCTGCATCCCCCACCCTTCTTGAGACTAGAACTGACATCTGCAAACCAGCCTTGGTGGATGGAGGGTCTGCACCCTCGCCAGGACCGTCTTTGGAGACTTGGGAGCTGGGGTGATGTTGCTCTGTACCCATGAACTCCCAGTTTGCAAACTAAATAGACAATCTCTTCTGTAAGTTGCACTGGTTACTTGAACCACTGAAAGCGAGATGGGAAGCTTACAGATACGGATATTTTTATTTCTATGATGTCGTTGTAATAAATTTCTAAAGCTTCTGGGTTCTCGTGTACTTGCTGTCTCAGAGAAGGACCAGGACCTCGGCTCCCCCTCACCCTCCATAGGCACTGCCGCGGCCCCCCTTCCTGCAGGCTCCCCAGGAAGTGTTACTGAAGTCCCAGTTAGCAGCTCCAGGCTCCTTCCCAAAAACAGTGCCTCTTCTCTCTGCAGCCGGCGCCACCCAAGTCCGACAAATCTTTGCCTTTTTTTTTTTCTCCCTCCTCCTGCCCTGTAGCAATTAAAAGACCGGTTTATTACGAAACCTGGCCGCCGTGCCACTGCTGTTACTGGCTGTGCTGGAGCCAACCCCCAGCTCCCGGCGCGCATAGATGCCCCCACCCCCGGGGGAGGGGGTGCTGGCTGCAGTCCCCGGTGACCAGCCGCCACTGAAGCCCGAGGTCCAGAGAGGTCAAGGGGGCACCTGCGACCACACAGCGAGGTGGGCCCAGGGGGGAAGGGCTTGGGCCTTGCAGGAAGAGCTTTGGAGATCCCCCCCGGAGTGCCCCCCCCAGGCCTTCTCCCTCCCAGGATGAGCCTCTTCACTGCCCGACAGAAAAAAACATTTTTTTTTTTTCCTCCAAACTCAAATCAACCAGCAGAAAAATACCCCAGGAAGTGGTGCTCCCGGCCCTGCTGGGCTTGGCACGCGCTGCGTTTGCTTCTAAATCGAAACTGCTAGGCAGGGCCGGCCACCTCCTGGTTGTCCCGAAGTGGCAGGCGAGGCGACGCCCCCCGCCCCGGGCTGGGAGCTGGAGCCCTGCCGCCCGGCCTCGGTCTTCCCCCCCACGACTCTGCGGGGTGGGCTCGCGCGCCTGGCACCCTGCGCCCCTCAGCCCCGCGCCCCGGCCTGGGAACTGGTGGGGGGTGCGGGGAGCGCACAGGCCGCGACCTTTCCACGGGGCCCCACGTGGGCGCGGGAGGAAAACCCCGGCGGTCCCCTGGGAGTCATGGGGCAGGGGGCAGCCCCGCCGGGGGAGGACCAGGGAGCGGGGAAGTCCCGGAGGGGCGGAGGGGGAGGGGCGGGGATCCCTCCTGGGGTTGGGAGGAGGGGAGAGTAGAAACGGGGAGAGGAAACCCTGAGATGCAGCCCCGAGAGGGGACCCCCCTGGGGGAGGGGCGGAGGGAATCTCTGGAGGGGTTGGGGG